TGTTTTGAGAATGATGTACAAATGCGCTTTACACAATTAATGTGTGTATGGATTGTGATAAGAGTTGTATGAGCCCCTAATAAAATGATTTTTTTAAAAAGAAAAAGGCTGATATTTTAATAAAGTCTTTAATTTTAAAATACCCGTGCTTTATACGGGTATAAGACTGCATAGAACTTAAAACACACATGCACACACAGGCACACATAGAGCTGAAGCACTCTGAACTAATGGATTATATCAGTGTCAATCTCCTGGACTGTAATATTCTACCTGAGAAAGTTGGTATTGTAAGGCAGAAACCTGTCAGCGAAGGAAAACGCTAATATTTGGTACTGAGAGAGCAAGTAGTAAGTTTGTACCCAGTCAATGGTGGAGAACTGACAAGACCCAGATAAACAAGGCAAGCCCTTCAATTTCTAAGTATTGACTCTCACAGGTGTCACGGTACTCCAAAACCAAAATAATGATATTGCTGTCACGCCCATTCAGACTGATAGCAACCCTACAGGACAAAGGCTCTCAATCTTTTTTTCTTTGTAATCATGTTATTGGGGGCTCGCACAACTCTTATCACAATCCATACATACATCCATTGTGTCAAGCACCTTTGTACATTCATTGCCAACATCATTCTCAAAATATTTGCTTTCTACTTGAGCCCTTGGTATCAGCTGATTTTTGCCCTCCCTCCCTGCCCCACCACCTCATGAACCCTTGATAATTTATAATTATTATTTTGACATGTCTTACACTGTCCGACATTTCCCTTCACCCACTCTTCTGTTGTCCATCCCCCAGGGAGGGGGTTATGTGTAGATCCTTGTGATCGGTTCCCCTTTCTATCCCACCTTACCTACACCCTCCCAGTATCAACACTCTCACCACTGGTCCTGAGGAGTTCATCCGTCCTGGATTCCCTGTGTTTCCAGTTCCCATCTGTACCAGTGTACATCCTTTGGTCTCGCCAGATTTGTAAGACAGAACTGGGATCATGATAGTTGGAGGGAGGAAGCATTAAAGAGCTAGAGAAAAGTTGTATGTTTCATCATTGCTACACTACGCCCTGGCTGGCTCATTTCCTCCTCACAACCTTCTGTAAGGAGATGTCCAGTTTCCTATAGATGGGCTTTGAGTCCCCGCTCTGCACTCCCCCTCACTCACAATGATATGATGTTTTGTTCTTTGATGCCTGATACCTGATCCCATTGACAGCTCGTGATCACACACGCTAATGTGCTTCTTCCATGTGGGCTTTGTTACTTCTCAGCTAGCTGGCCACCGTTTACCTTCAAGCCAACAAAAGACTGTTGATCTTTTTTTGTTTTGTTTTGTTTTGTTTTTTTCTTTTTTAACATTTTATTAGGGGCTCATACAACTGTTATCCCAATCTATACACACATCAATTGTGTAAAGCGCATTTGTACATCGTTTCTCAAAACATTTTCTCTCCATTTAAACCCCCGACATTAGGTCCTCATTTTTCCCCTCCCTCCCCGCTCCCCCCTCCCGCATGAGCCCTTGATAGTTTATAAATGGGTATTTTGTCATATCTTGCCCTGTCCGACGTCTCCCTTCATCCACTTTTTGGTTGTCTGTCCCCCAGGGAGGAGGTCACACACAGTTCCATGTAATTGGTTCCCTCTTTCCTACCCATTCTCCCTTTACCCTCCCTGTTTTGCCACTCACACCACTGGTCCTATAGGGCTCATCCGTCCTGGATTCCCTGTATTTTCAGTTCCTATCTGTACCAGTGTACCTCCTCTGGTCTAGCCAAGGACTGTTGATCTTTATGGGACCAGACTGCCCTATCTTTCTCCTGTGGAGTGCTGGTAGGTTCCAACTGCCAACCTTTCTGTTAACAATCTAATTCTTTAACCACGGTGCCACCAGGGCTCCTTCACTGAATGCTTACTCCACTATCAAACTAAAATACACAAACAATCCACTGCCACTGAGTCGACGCGAACTCATAGCAATTCTACAGGGCAGCACAGAACTGCCACCTGTGGCTTTCCAAGACTGTAACTCTTTCCAAGACGGGAGTAGAAAATCCCACCTTTCTCCTGAGGAAGAGTGAGGTTTCAAACTACAGATCTTGCAGATCGCAGACCAACTTGTAAGCACTATGCCATCAGGGCTCCCTAAACCACTATAATTCTGCAAAATACTAGCCACAGGGAAACTGGAAAGGGTGTACCAGGGGGTTCTCTGTATCACCTCTTTTTTTTCCCCTCTGTATTACCTCTTATAGCTGCATGTGAATCTATAATGATCTCAATAAAATTTTTAATTAAAAAAAGACTCATTCATTTTAACTGATATACTAACAATTATCTAAATAACTCATAACATATTTTATGAGGTTAATTCTTCTCATCAACTCTTAAGGACAAAACCATTTTCAAGGCAACTTGATTCACGATCCAGCTAATAAAATAGGAAACACCCACCGCAAGGAGATTAATGGCAAAGAAAAAATAGCCAGCTAGAAAGCCCCTGTGACCTGCTGGCTTGAGAGGTAAACATGGCGGCAATCGATCCATTGCTGTCAAGGCAGATGCTGGGGGGCTGCTCAGGCTCTGTGATCCCAGGTGATCAGCAGTGGCCGCCAGAAAGGGCACTGTCATGGCTCACAGGCTACAGAAGGCTAGAATGGGGCTGGGGACTAGCCTGCTCTTCTGGGGCAACTTGCTGTACTGGAAGAGGGATGACTGAAAAGCTAACACAAGGAAGGAAGATGCTGCCGACTCAAATATATCACAGGAGGAATGGATAAAGATGCTGGAGATATTTACCCAGAGAAGAAAAGATCCAAGGAGAAGGCAGCAGGTGGTGGGGAGAATTGGGTTCTCATATACGGAAAGGGCTATCAGGGGAGAGAGGATCTGGGTTCGTGGTGGTGGCTCCAGTTGGTAGCAAAGTCAGCAGAACTGTTGGTCACCTTCTGAGAGCCCAGAGATCTGACCCACATTCCTTGTCCTTAGATAGCCTAGTAGCATTACTCCCATCAGGAATGCCATCCACATTTTAACATCCCGTGGTCCAGGGAAAAAAGCACTAGAAAGAGTCGCTCTCTTTCCTCCCTCGGCAGTTGGAAGACCAACCTGGATTGTTCATGCAGGCCAGGCACACCAGTCGCAAACAGCAGTGCCTTTCCACCCACATCCTTTTCCTAGAGAAGACTGGAGGATAATCAGTGGAAAGCTGGTTTTAGACAAAACTCAGCTATAAAATGAAGTATTAGGCCAATGAATGTACAAATGTGCTTTACACAATTGATGAATGTATGAATTGTGATAAGAGTTGTATGAGCCCTAACAAATTGGCTTTTAAAAAATAAATAAATAAATAAAAGCAAAACCTTCATCAAATGCTAAGGATATGCTAATTACCAAACCTCGTCTCAAGTATCATAGATTTACAGGAAAGCCAGCTTTCACGTGAGTCTGAAGCTCCTCCATTGTTTGCTGAAGCAGGGGGCCATGAAGGGAGGAGTGGAAATACAGATCAGCCTGAGACAAAGCTCAGCCCTTCTCACCATCACTGGGGCGCCCACGGCCTCACTAAGCTGACCTGGATCCTGACTTCCTATTCTCTAAAGGAAGGCTCCCCTTCAAAGTTGTGAGGGGAAATATAGGCAGTAAGCACAGAGAAGCTGGACATAGAGTCGGCCAATAAAGGTTTGTCCCTTTGTGTGTCTGTTTCCATGAACCACCTTCCTTCAAAAGGGTCACTCAAAACGGAACAAATGAGAAGGTCTACGCTTTGTGGAGAACAGGACCAGTGTCAGTGAACAATGTGTGGAAGCTGCTGAATGGGAATTTCAGCTGCTGTGCCAACCTTCACCAAAACAAAACAAAACACCTAATCAAATGCATATTTAAGAGGTTCCGTTTCATATTTCAAAATAGGAAACAATATCTCACCTCAATAAAGGCCAAGCCCATTACCACAGTTGCTCAGATACAGAAGAGCTTATCCACATAACACACCCACAGCAACCCCCAACCACATACTATGGATCTGCATTTTAATGTCGCGCCTGTCTTACTTACAGCGATCACCCGGTAACCCCATCCAGTCAAAGCCAGGATCTGCCGGAAAAACACATCTGCCGTGCCACTCACGGGGGGCAGAAAGATGAGAGGACACCTGATACTTCTGGGGCCTGCATCATAGAGTGACCATATCTTACTGTCATCATCGTCTACAATAATCTGGGGGGAAATTATAAAGAGGAAAGATTAAAACCTTACGCATTTAGTTATTACACTATTAATTTACATTGTGATCTCATGGACATTTCAATATTGCTACCTTCTTTGTTACAAGGTAACCTGGGTATTGAGGGTTTGAACACAGGTACTGAATTAGCATGTCTCTAAACGCCTTTGGTCTCCTTTTCTTTCCTTGATGTCCACCTATCATGAACTGCTTGATGGCCTCTAAGAAGCCCCAAACATGGCTTAAGAGCTCACCGGTGAACCAAAAGGTCAGCGGTTTGTACAAATATGCTTGATACAACTGAGCATGCATGATGCTGTAAGAACCCCTAATAAAATGACTTAAAAACAACAAAAAAGGTCAGTGGTTTGATTCACCAGTAGCTCTGAGGGAGAAAGACATGTCCGTCTGCTTCCTTATGAATTTACTGCCTTGGAAAACTGAGAGGCCAGTTCTCCTCTATTTCATAGGATCACTATTCCAAAGAGCTGCCTGTTCTACGTGTTTTTAACTCTCCTTTCCACCCATCATAATAAAATGAAGTCTATTTTGACCACCATCACCGTAAACTTCATATATGGCATCTTATTTTTTCTGTATCCTTTTGACTGTGTGTGTGTGTGTATGTGTGTGTGTCAGAGGGAGTGTAATCTGTAATCATCCTCTACTGGGGCCCACAGCATGGGCCAGAATCAGCACCGTCTCACAGCCATCAAGTCGATGCCGACTCAAAGCGACCCCACAGGACAGACTAGAACTGCCCCTGTGGGTTTCTGATACTGTAACTACGGGAGTAGAAAGTTCCATTTTTCCCCTGAGGAGCGGCCAGTGGTTTCAAACTGCTGACCTTGCAGTTAGCAGACCTGTGCATAACCATTATGCCAACTGTGTAGCAAAGGATAAACAGTGGAGGTGAGGGAGGCAAGGCTAGAGGCTCGCTGGATAAAGACGGTCCAAGCTAAGAGGTGCTTCTGGAACCTGATCTTGACCAAGGCTCTCAGGAGGACTCTTCTGCTTCAGAGGAGGAAGGAGGTAGGTATAGGTGTAACTGTCCCAGGAGAATGCACCAGCCCATTCTGTGGAGCAAG